TTCCTCTTTTTCTCCTGGAAAAGAGGAGAAGCAGAGAAGCAAAGGAAGGTGGAGTGCACTCAGAAGTCGATCCCTCTCCCCTTCATCAACCAGCCTAGGAGCTCTCTGTCCTACGCAAGCATTTCCTCCATCATCGACTTGCCATCAGTCTCTCATCATCTCCTCACCATAGGGGTGCCGAGGGCACTCTTTTTTTCCTGGAAACGACCCGCAGATTGATGGCTGTGAAGATTAGAGGAATGAGCTTTTCGAATTCGGGAAACGAACAAAGGATCGGCCTGGAGCAACGACAGTCTGATTAACCTCTTCTAATTTCATCCACAGATGAGAGGTATGTGCATTTGCCATGCTTTCATGTTTATACTCCGTCCTCGCCCTCTTCGTGGTCGATGGCAAACGCCTTCTACAGTATGTATCTAAAGTCTGGAATCTATGTGAATTTATTTTCATTTTTCTTTACTTACAGTGATATGGAACTAACTACGGACGAGCGGGTTGAAATAATTATTGTGTGGGCGGGAGGGCATCACCCAATGACAAATCACTGACGAATTTAACATGCAGCACCCACAGCGGCTACCCTTCACGCACTCAGCAGTTTGTAAGCAGTTAAAACGCTTCAAATAAACGAGGTCCGTAGCCGATAAGCTCCGTTCTGAACGACGTCGATCGGCGACCAACCATGAAAAAGCAACCGACATTCTAGCAAAGATTGCTGTTAGCCCAAAGAAACCGTCAAGACAGATGGCGATAGCGGGTGTCTCTCACTCAAGCGTGTGTCGCGTCCTATAGGTGAATAGGATACGATCGTATCGGATGCAAATCCTACAGGCATTCCACGAAGACGACTCTGACAGGGAGATGGAATTTTATGAATAAGGTCAAAACATGGCGAAAGAGGACCCCACTTTTCCAATACGTATCCTCTTCAGCGATGAGGCTTTGTTTTACCTCAATGGCACGGTCAAGAAACAAACGTGCCGATACTGATGAGACACCAACCCTCACTGGATGACAGGGTTACGGGAGCAAGGATCACCAGAAGTGATGCTTTGGCGTGGAATCTTGAAGGATACATTAATTGGTCCTTTTTTTCACGAGAACGTTACAAGCGATGCGTACTTGGCTATGCTGGGAAATTCCGTGGTGCCCGAACTTGCGATATCGGAAATCAATCCACAAGAATTGGGGCTCCAGCAAGATGATGCCCCTCCGCACTACGCGGCTTTCGTTCGCCAGTGACTGGACGAACATTTCCCTCGTCGGATCGGCCGTCGAGGAACGGTGGAATGTCCCGCAAGATCTCCGGAGCTGACACCCCTTCATCCTTCCTTTGGGGGACATCGAGTCGCGGGTATGCGATGTCAAACCGGCTAATCTGTATGAACTACGGCAACGCAGCGACGTTTGTTGCAGGACAGTGACCCCGACTAGGCTGGAAAACGACCTGCAGGAGTAGCTTCACCGGTTGGAACAATGTACGACACAAAATCAGTGGACATAGAACAAATTAAAAAAAAATTAATTTTCTCATTGATTCCAGACATTTGATACATACTGTAGTGCAATCACGATCTCACTACAGTAGGAATCATTTCCTCACTAACAATGACTGCAACAATCGCAGATTCATCGTTGAAAAATAACGAGGCCTCGGTATTCAATCATGTTTGTTACGCGATAATTCCCGATTCCCATTCCGAATTAAGTTCTAAATTGTGCTGCCAAAGGGTATTGATTTACTGCTGCGTCGCTTCGCTTTCGAAAGATTTGTCCAAACGAGATCCTGAAAACCGCAGTCTAATGTATGGGCTCAATGATGCTATCTCACAATCTCACCCGGGTTACTACGCACAAAACGTTTTTGACACGAAAAAGGTTGTCCCTATTATGATTCATTTGGAATATGCCTAAAGGTGCGTCGAATATTATAATATGAAAACAAAGTGTGTCCAAATGACCATACGAGTTGACCTCATGATATAACCTGATGTCAACTTACGACAGTCGGCTAATCTGCGCAACAATGCTGAAATAATGCAGTTCACACAGATACCTTTGGGAACATGACGTACGTGTCAGAGATTCGACACACCTTTGGGCACATCCCAAGTGCGTCATAATAGGGACAAAAAAGTTTTGTGTGTATGCTCCAAGCTGCTAAGATTTCTCGCGCATGCGAAACAGTAGGGGGGAACGAGCGAATGCAATGGATCCTCAGCATAAATAATCAATAATCATATTATAATAAATGATAAAGAATCATATTACTCGTATTTCCAATATTCGAATGTAAGTAAGAATTATGGCTCTCGTGTCTGCATTAATTTGTATGATTTTGAATCCTAAATAACTATTCGAATGTGTAAGAATGCCGCTCAATAGCACTATTCGAATTTAGAAGAATCAGGGTGGAAGGATAAGGAATAACTTGGAGAAAAACTTTACACTTCTTGAGAAGTTCACGAAAGTTGACATTGGAAACCGTTTTTCATATCACAAAATGGGGTCTCTCATCTCCCTCACTTCCACATCCTCGATGGAAGCAAAACTTCAGTGTCAAAAAGAAATCTAGGTAAGCCCAAGTGTAAGTCTCCCGATCGGACAACCGTGAATTTTCCTTGGCGTACAGGGGACGACATTTACTGTCATAACGGGAAATATCCTTAGTATGAGACTTATTTTTGGTTCTCATCTGTTGATGGATGGGGGTGCTAAGGCTGAAGAGTGCGGAAAACTGTTCTGCTCCTTGCAACCAAGCTAGCCTTTCTATTTTTAGGAAATGCAAATATTTATGCCGTGGAAGGAAGAGAGTTCAGAGGGGACCATGGCCAAGGTCATTTGCCATAGCGACAGGGCAATGTTCTTCATTATCCATTATAAGGAGAATGAAGAACCTCTCTGCAACATTCAACAAACCATAACATGCTGCATGTCTTCGCCGGAGCATGAATGCAAACGTCTTCTAGTATGATGCCCTGACCAGATAATTGGAATGAAACTTGATTCGAAAATGTTGCAAATCAACAAGAACCTCCAGAGAACCTGGATGGCGAGGAAAATATAGTATTTCGAGGTTTTCTTCCGGTTCTCTTTGGCTTTTTCCTATCCACGTCATATGCCAATTGGATTGTTATTGAGGCATTCCACTAGCTCCTTTTACATCCTCGTTCAACGGAATTCGACAAATCTCCGGAAGTTGCCGTATTTGCAGAAAACGAAACCGAAGCGAAGATTCCTTTACGAAAGAGGCTAGGAACATTGAGGCTTCCTTCATTTCCCCTATTTCCGGTCTAAGAATACGGTCGGTGAGGAGGAAAGATGGAGAAGAAGGAGAAGAAAAAGAAGAGAAGAAAAAGAGGAGAAAATGGTGAAGATTCCTTTCGATTGAAGGGAAGAAGAAAAAGGGGGCTCCATCCTCTTTGTGCATAATCCCCGGATTGGAAACTTTTCCTTTCCAGATTAGTCGAAAGGCTTCTCCCCCGTCAGCTGGCAAGATATTGTTCTGCTCTCAATACATCCGACCGCCCCGTTTCCCTCCCCCTGATATTATTCTTAGAAAAGGAAGGAATGTGGCAGCACCAGGCACTAGTGTGGCAGAGAGATGATCACAGAGTGGATGGAGTCGCTGGACTGGAAGGGATCTCGAGGAATCAACAGGTGCAAAGCATGCGGGACAACACACAAGGGGCTAGATTCCTCAATTCTGGCCTTGTGTCTGCGCACTTCCCCCTTCATCGATTCTCCTCTTCGCTTAGAGTACATCTCCATCGCCTACCTTCGCCCTCTCCCATTTTACTGCTGCCTTTATACCACTCTTTTGTAACCGCGTTGAGGATCGATGACCACTCAGACCCCCCTCCCCCCCTGATTCATGATTTTATAGCGTAAAAACTCACCTGGAAGTTCTGGGGTCATTCGAAGGGAAGACCTGATCGGCACTTGCTCGCCTGGGCTGCATCATGCGTCTCGCTTTACTCGACCGATTCCAACCATAAAAATGCAAATGTGATCATTAATGTGATCATGAATAAGTTCCACTACAGACACCTGGGCTACCGCGAGGAACCGAGCAGTTGATGTTTAAGTAAATTAAACACAGGTGGAAAGAGAAGGTGGATATGACAAGAGTTGCTTTGGCACTTGAAGCATCTGCATTCATCGTGACCTTCGTGCTCCTTCGTGCTCCTTCGTGCTCCTTCGTGCTCCCACCTCCCTCCAGAATCCATGCGCTATTTTTCTTCATAGAAACAAACTGATTTGGTGCCAGAGAACGAAGATGATGAGATTCCTCATCGCATTCGTTATTACGGTTTCTTGCCTCTCGGCTCTTAATCTCTAGAGGATTGACACAGCCTCACGCTGTGATAGAGATCTTACTCCTCTTTCCCTGGATCTGGCCGATAGATCTGGAAAGTGGAGAAAGAGGAGATGACAGAAAGAAGGCAGAAAGTAAGTACGAGGAAGAGAGCGGAGAGTGTAGTTCCTATGTCATTCTCCATTCCTCTAACCCGTCTTGTGTTTATTTTTTTAAATTTAAATCTGGTTGATTTATTTTATGGATGAGTTGTTAGGATAAGTCATTTTCTTTCGGCTGACACAAAAACTTCCGACAGACTGCCGAATCGGCTGAATGAGTCTTACGTTTGCGACTGATGGGATTATACGGCCGAACAAAAAAAAGAGTTTTTGTGATCTCCCTCTGCACAAGACGCTTATACATAACGAGTTTCCCGTCGAGTCGGTTCCTCTCTCGTCTTGCAAAAAGGACACGCGCTTCATTTGATTCCTTCCTCTCCTCGCCAAAGCTGCAGATATTATGGAAACGAGTCTCATTCGTTATTCATGGAAATGCCTCGGCCTATATGAGATCGCGTGAATTTTCATGGAAATCTCAAACGGAATGTTAGCCCTCGCGAGCTCGATGTCAACCTTCTGCGTGTTAAACTTACCGAGAGGACAAAGATTCTCTGCTCTGTGATACGAAATCCTCGGACGAGAAGGTCAGGATAAGCTTTTATTTAATAACAGGCATCAGATAGGAAAAAAAGATGAGACCAGATGAGAGAGTCATGGCGTTCCATCGCATCCACTTCCGGTCGTTGGAAACGTTTCGTCCTCTTCCTGCTCTCTTATCAGCTGCTCTCATGACTCACTCGATAAAGAACACCGTTTTCCAACGAAGACGGTTTCTGCATCATCGGGATGGAATTTGGTGACGATCAGAGACTTTATACACTTGCAACACTCAAAATCACGTCACTATTGTCATCTCACAGCCGTAGAAAAGCTACATCGAAAGATCAGTAGGCACTGGATTTATTGGTAGTCTTTGGCTTCTCTCTTGATCGCACGGCAGAGACAGACGGCAAACAGGATTCCAAATATCTAGAAGGAAACGAGATGATGTTTACTTGCTCGATCGATGGTAAATAGGCTTTTTTTTTATTCAGTGGACCTTCTTTCTTGAGGAGGGGGAGCGGTGACTTCTAGATCTGTCCAGGTCTCCCTATCTGTCTCTTACTGCTATCGCTTAACGTAGACCCAAATGCAAAAAAAGAGCGCTGGAGAAGCAGCGGGTGGGACAGACTCTTCCATCTTTTTTTTGTATCAACCTGTCCAAATTTCTACAGGAAAGACCTTGTTTTGCATAACGAATCCGAAGGAAAACCCGAGTCGCGGCGGTTGCGATTCAGATCGTGATGACGTCTTCGCATTTTTTTCTACGAGGATATATGAATGAAATCTCAACTACAGGACTGGACTGGACTCGACCGAGGTTCAACAAGATCCCATCGTCCGGTTACTTTCCTACGTGGGCGTAAGTTTACCTGGAGAAGACAGAGGACGAGTCCGATGCCAGCGATCCATCCGGTTTTTGACTCCAAATACATAGACATCTCCTCAGCACAGCCGTTGATGTAGTTGTTTCCGGTCACGTGATTTCGGCACGAGAATGGGATTTCACGATACTCGAAGTCGTTGTATCCTGCCGCTCCGCAGCATCTGATCTGCAAACGCAAGAGATGCGATGGCCAAAACCCATTCCATTAGTTACGTAAAGCTCATCTCTAAACATTTTTCTAATTTCCCAGGCCCACTCAGTTTCTGAATGTCGTGTTGCTTAACGTCCCTGTATCGAAGGACGATCGCGAGGACGTGGTTGCCTGAACTCGCTGAGAAAACTCTTGGAGTCAATAACATGCATTAGCATTTTCACCATTCCCATGAGAAGAGCACTCTTATTTTTTTATTCCTGATATTCTGATGGTAAGAAAGCTTTCGAAATGCTTAAAGGTATATGGGGAGAAAACGATATCGTGATTCTCTTTCTAAATAATTACGATCATGGTATTATCTATTAACATTGAATGCGTGATCTAGTGTCACTGGAAACTCGCATCACTTCACCTCATGACTGCGTGATGAGGAACGAGAGGTTCGAGTAGAACGGCCTCCTCGTCAAGGATTTTCCACGTATATTACATATAGCCGATACTCTGCCAGTGCAGTAAAGTGGCTCCCGAGCAAGTGGCTGTTGAGAAAAAGAAGCATCGGTTCTTCCCTCGTTACCGTTCCTCGATCGTTCGCTGCACACTGCCCCGGTTAAGAAAACCCTAAACGGGACGCAACCGACACTTGAACGTGACCATCCTTGGTGAATACGGCCAACAGAAGTGGGGCATCGCTAAGGAAAGTTAAAAAGAAAAGGTAACGATGGCGAGAGATTCGTCGGAAGGAAGCCATCCGCCATTTTTAGGGGATCGAGGCAGCGAAACCGTAAGATGATCGTTGAACGCATCTGTTTTTCCGGTCGGCCAAAGGTATTATGGCCTTAATTATAAAATGTTCTCCCGATGTTTAACGTGCCATCGCAGCTCGAGTCCATCCGAACGCGCCACTGGTACCGATCGATTTGCTCGGTCGGTTTCACGATCGAGATGCACGAACCCAAATCTAAGTCTGGCCAGGACTCGACGCCGAGAGAAAATAACAGGGGAAGAAGCATACGAATCGAAGAAACGCGAACCCGATCACCAGTGTTCGATACGTTAAGAACGATGCTCGGATGACTCTCGGTCCCAAGGGGTCGATAGTCAATTTTTTCGATCACAAATGTTTAGAAACTTCTCCAGTTTTCCGTCGTGCACACATTTTTGAAGCGTGGCTATTGCAGCACCAATAGAGGCGGGAACTTTCTGGGAACCATCGCCAGTTTACGAGCCCCTTTCTCATTTCTTCGCATTCCCTCCCGAGTTAATATCGATGAGATCGCCGACGTTGGGCCTGTACACGGTGGCCTAATGCGCCCAAAGGCAATCAAAGATACGAGAGGGTAAAAGACATCGAGCATCGTTCCAGTCTGAACACGTTGAACGCTCGAAACGGAACAATTTTTAAAATGATCTCTGCCCCGAGCCTGACTCGGACCTTGGGTCGGACTCGGCTGATGATCGTCTGAAGTTGATCCCCCTTCATAAACCTCATTTCGAATCGAGGTGAAGGGAACTTAATTTCCCTCGGAGGGAAGCCCACTGACTTTCCCGACGATTCGCGTCGCTCTCTCTCGTACCTCGATCGTCTTTAATTGCTTTCGTATCGGTTCACACGGATGGGTGTAAACCAGGATAACCGTATTCTAGCATCGGTCCATCCGATGCCTTATGTAAGAGAAAACTACTGCTTTTTATTTGCGAACTGAACTGCGCAGCGAGTATCCCGGACGTTAGCACCTCACTGGTATACTCTTAAAATGATAAGTTATAGTAGACATCTGTACGCGACCGTAACAATTTGTTGGAACGAGGTCGAATACCCCGCCTGCAATACGCATCATACGTTTGAGATATGGACTCTAACGCCTTACGTATTCCTGAATCATGTCCACGATTCTTCTTGCTCGAGGTTCCGTATCGTATCTCGCGATCAATTCCAAGAATCGACCCCGAAGCCACGGTTTAATCTTGGAGTTCTCGATTCCGTGATCCAGGATGTAGGCTGATCCGGCGAGACCGATCACGAAGCAGATCCCCAGCAAAACGGAGTACTGCAAAGCGAAAAAGTCGTGGGACCGACCCGAGCATTCTCACATCGGTAGACTCCTCCGTGAGTCTCTTTACGAGTTCCCGAGTCGCATACCGTAGTCAACATGCAGGGGTTCTCCATGATGGCTCCACAGCACCCGAAGAAGGAAATGATCATGACGAGACAGGCCGCTGCGAGGAGGACGTAGGCTCCGGTCCAGAAATGTTGCATCTTCAGCTCGAACACCCAATGCTTGAAATCCTCTTCGAATCGGATCCATAGAGCCAGCGAGAAAACGACTGCAGCTAGCAGCTGAAAAGATCAACCTCTTCTTTTTTTTATGGATCTCAACAGCACTGCCTAATTTAACATAAGAGATTTTAGGCAAAAAAAAAAGTTGGAAAGAGCCACGTCCATCGTCGTGTAAATCTTTTCTCCCGACGGCCTTTCTATATCTCTGCATCTCGATCGAGTTCGAAATACAGATCGATGACATGCTAAACCGGAAATCCGCAAGAGGAAGACGAGAGTCATCCGGTCCATCTCCGATGACTCCTCGATCCGATGGCTTCGGTATTAGTCCCATCTCGTTGGGACGTTCGGAGATCTACCATGACGTCAAACGCAACTGCGTCGTATTCGAAGCGGACGGCGATGCGGAGTTCCCGTCCGAGGACGTCTGGATGTCTGAGCGTCCGCCCGCGAAGAATTCTCATCCTCCGGGGGACTCATCGCGGAACGCGCGTTTCGTGGTTCTAAGTGCGTTCGAGACCGTCTTCCCTCGACCGGGAATCACCCGGAACGACGGACCATCGGCGAAGAACGTCGTCGCGACCGAAAGGACGAACGTTCCTTCTTTTCTGGATCGCACTTCGGAGACGCGGTGAGGTTTTCGGGAAACGCCTGTGGGTCCGAGGCGCGTCGGAGTCCAAGCCGATTGCCTCCCACGGCACCACGGCACCACGGCACCACGGCAATCCTCGAAGAGAGAGACTCACCCAAGAGATGACGTTGAAAAAGAATAGAAGATATTTGAGCCAAATGATCTGCTGTTCGAGGGCTCCCCTTCCCTTTCCCTTTCCTCGTCCTTTGGCCATCTTCACGCAATAAACGGGCTCGTTTGACACTTCACCGAGAATCACGCAACAGGAAACGATGAACCTTCGCTCTGACAAAAGAATCGGGGGGACTCGATAACGTAGAACTCCACTCTGTTATCGGGGATAGGACTACTCCGGGAACTCCGTGCAAAAACCTTTTGTAGCCGTATTCCAGGGGAAGCGATGCTTGCATCGAGATAAGGTGTGTCGCCCAGTTCTCTAACGTCGAGAAGTGTTTGCGTGAGATAAAACGACTGACTCTCCGCTCCGTTACCAGGACGACCCCGTATCTTATCGCACATAGAATCCTACACCGTTCTAGTCGCTCCTGTACTATGGTGTGGGAACGCGAATGAAACAATATGGAACTATCCTATACGCAGGAAAAAATACATGCTGGGAATGAAATTCTTTCTCGATGATCACATCGAGAAGGAATTTCATTCCAAGGAGACGATGGATATTGAAAAGCATCGCTGTAATCGGGGAACCGAATCTTCCAGTTCCAGTCATTTCATTTATTCTTTCTTCCCAACTCCAAAATTACATGGGTCACTCCGAAAGGTTTTTTTGGCTTTTCGCCGAAAAAAAACGAAGATAAAGGTTAAAGTCTATTCATAGGTTGAATGTACTTGTTGTAAGTAGCTTGGACAAGTTTCGTCTGTTTCTGTTCACATTTAGTGACACTGAAGTACTACGAGTGGAAGCAGTTATCGACATCTCGTGAGAAATAAACTTTTCCTTGACCGAACGGATTTATCACGTTTATGGCATAATGTAGAACTATAAGAAAGCCTCTGCACCTGACGATTGCCCTGATGACACGTTAAGAAGTTTTTTTAGGATCGAACTTCGATATGCAATAGCGTTGAACTGGTACCGCCTCTTCGATGGAGGGAACGCGATTCGATGAGGAGCCCAGAACTTGGCGCCCTCTGACTGCAGCGACGCAACCGAACGTTGCCATTGGGTATCCGCCGATGGGGATATTCCATGGGGTTCTTCTTTCGTCGACTTTCTTTAAACAACGCCTGGAACAAATAAAATTTGATGGAGTCGTTGCTGTGATGGGGCACCCAGCCGGTGGCTCGTCCTTGGGCATTTTTCCCGCTATCCAAAATGTGGTACCATTTGAGCACTGATGCACGCGAAAGGGCTTCGAACCGAAAACCTGACACTTCTCATCGAGGCAATCATCGAGGCATCAGCCGAGAAGGCTCTCCTAGTTCTAGGAAATGATGGCATGAAGGCAGTGGCGTATTTTATGGGGGGGGGGGGCAGGGGAGGCGGTTCCCCCCCTCCACCTCTAGTTGAGATTAATACGACATTGGAGACCCATTTATATGATATCTGTCTTGCGGGTCTACCCGGCCTACAATAAAGTAGTCCTGTTCCTTCTTTGTCTCGATTTAGAGAAGAAAAATAAACAGCGAGTGGACTCTATTTCGATCGGTAGCGATAGGTTATATCTTCTCTGACATCAGCCTAAGAAAATGGCGATAAACGAGCTCGAAGCTCATGATTACTGGTGCAAATCAGCAGATATCGTCGTCTGGCGTCCGGGTGGCATGATGCAATCATGTGACCATACCACAGTTAGTACTCGACGGCCTCTGGCCGTGATAAAAGCTGTCGAACGACTCTCCCAGCGGTTTTATACTCTTTCATATCACGTGGCCCTTACCTGATTGTATCCACCGGAACGCCAGATATCGGAGAGTGATTCGTCATTTTCATACCTCGATGTCTCCAAGAAAGAGCCAAAGCTTGGTGGCTTTAGCATCGCTCGTTCTAGGTGTTTTTTTTTTAATTTGCCGGCAGTATATTTTGATGGGTAAAGACTTTTTAACTACCGATCTTTCGTATGGTGCTTTCCAGACAAAGGAAGCAAATAATACGTTCGAGATTTCATATCGATGACGTGACTCCGATCTCTCTCGGTGTCCGTCATCTCCTGCGACGTCTTTTTCCATGTTTCCAGGCTTTCCCACGGATGCTGCTGCTTGACAGTCGGGGAAATTCTCCGGTGAAATACTGTAAATGAGACACGAGGGTACTCAGGCGCTGCTCTCCTTTCGTTCCATGGACCACTTCTGGTACCTCTCCGTGTAATGCGTGCGTCAGCAATACTCCGTCAAGGAATCCCTTCTCGGTGATTGCTGGACTAGGGTGGAAATGAGGGAAAAACTAGGTTTGTTTTAATATCGAAAATTCCACCCAGCGAAAATTCCACTCTGAAAATTCCACCCGGCCAAATGAGAGAGGCATCAAGTCTTTAAATCGCACCATACCGATAACCCAAGAGACGGTAAAGCTTTAGGGAAAAAAAATGCAGAAAGGAAGACAGCAGCTGTCACGGGCGTCTTCGAGTCTTCGCTCTAGACCCGATGTATCCAGAGTTTCAAAAATGGCAACAGAACAGTCCTCTTCAGTTGAATATAGAAAACAGTGACCAAGCAAAAAGAACTTGAAGGAAAGGGATAGTTGCAACGGGATTTCGATGTACCTTCCACGAGAGTTAAGATACCAAAACAACATGTTGTTAGTGTGAAACCTTATAGAGACCGTGTACGAGTGTTGTCAAAAAAGCTTCTGTATTGGGCTTGAAATCGGAGACAAAAATAAAACTGATTTCGAATTCGTTTATTTGATGATCGAGATACACCTATTAGGACTCCATGTGGTGACCCTCAACCTCGGTACCTTCGCATCAGGTCTTTCATCCCAGGTTGGACGCCAGCCTCCGTCACAGTGCTCAGTGACAGCTTGTAAGCTCCATCGATGGCCTCTTCGTCTTCAAATCGATGACCGTGCAGGTTATCCTTGACCTTGGGGAAGAGGAAAAACTGGAACGGTGAGAGATCCAGCGCGTAAGATGGATGAATCGGTGTCCCCCACCCCTATTGCATCGTTGGATGGCGTCCAGGACGGCGTGGAGCGGCGTCGATCTGCAGGATGACTGCGTGTTGTTCTAGACCAGTGGTGCCCAACCTTTTCGGTTGGGGGGTCACATAGCTCACTCCCAGTCATCGCGGGCCAGTCACTAGTATTGTAGGAGACTATTTTAAAGAAACCTAAAGGGTATTTATTGTGGGTTAAGGCCTCGCGGGCCACTTGTAAGTACCTCGAGGGCCACTCTTTGCCCGCGGGCCACGGGTTGGGCACCACTGTTCTAGACGCTTGTCTGTAATTGTCAGGCGAACCTTGGACCTCGAGGCATCAAGATAGCAATCACCTTCAATAGTTTTGCCCATAGGCATTGCCTTATCATACAGGATGCCCGCGTGGTCGAAGAACGTGATGTTACTCGTACACGACGAGCTGACTCTGCTCACTAATGACCTTCCGTGATCGAGGTGATCCTGATGATCGCTACTCCAAGCTCTGGCTACCAGAGGTGAGTCCAGGTTTCATGCAGGTCACTATCCGTCGGAGGAAAGCATTACCATAATTCCCCAAGCGGCGTCCCAGTTACCAAGGATGTGCAGTGTCTTGAAGAATTCCTTTGATTCCGTTTGACCTTCCTTTTCAGTTCCCATCACTCACCTCGTCCCCATGCCAAAGGGCTCCCAGCCAAGCAGCTAACGCGCCCCTCCCCCCCCCCTTCCTTTCTCCAAGCTTCGTAGCTTGGCGCCTGGGCCCGGTGCAGTTGCACCGCCTGCACACTCCATAGCTACGCCACTGCTATTAGGACTGCCCACGTAAGAGTGAACCTAGTTTATTTTCACTTTCTCCCAACGATCGACAGCAGATAAATTTCCAGTTGTACAGGATGAAGTGACTCGTCTCGGGGTGAACAGAATCGCTCCAAGGTTTTCCCGCTCGGTCGAGGTTGGCTTGCATGGAAAAACAGCTTTTAACGCGTGTCAATTCATTCCCAGAGTGTTTCATCGGGGATAAGATGGAAGTAATCGATTTTCGTTCCACTTACGCGACTTCCTATCCCCACCTCACTTTCCTCGTCATGAATAATCCATGGGGGGAGCCCTCTTTGATTGCATCGACTCCGGTCTGGAGGAATAGTCTCCGTCATTGGAATCATTCATGCCACAACGCATCCATCATCCAGACCTAAATAAATAAATCCTCTAATGGGGCCACTGCATGCCAATGGCCGATGTACTGCACGCCTTTGCTTCAAGTGGAAGTGAGAGAGGATGCGAAGCTCGAGGCGCGGACGATGAACGTGCCTCTTGTCGCAATCGGGGCATGCCAGCCGTTCCCTCCGGCGACTCCTGTTTCTTTTTCTCCAGTTCTTCCTTCCCTTGAGAGGTTGGAATCCCCGTTTATGGCATACGAAGGTCACCAGGCGAGACT